CTTCACCTCTTCCCCTCCCCCTCCGCGCGCGCGCCCGGGTCTTTCACTTAGGCCTCGCGCGACCCGGCTGCTGTCCCTTCGTGTCTCCTTTTTTACTCTTTCTCCCCTCCCTCGCTCCCCGTTTCCCTCGCCATCCCCCTTTTCACTCAGTACCTCATGCCCGCCATGCTCCCCTCTTTTCCACCGGAGCGTCTTCCCCTCCGTGTTTTTAACTCTCCGCCCCCAATGGTGCCCTCAGGGTGCGGGGGCCGCTCCCTGCCCTGCGCCGAGTCTTGTGTTTGACGGCGGACGGGACGAAAGGGAGATCCTTAAGGGTGAAGGGAGCACAGAATAATTATCTTTATTTGGGGAAAGGATCAGGAGTGCAGAACCTACCCCTTTATTTCGTCGTCCCCCCCGTTCCCTTGCCCTCCGTAAGAAAAGGAAATTGTCCTGACTTGTGTGGGTTACTTACCTTGTAAAGCAACTAAACTGCCCATTTGCTCAGCTGGGCTTCTCGGACACACTGGATTTGTTCCAGCTCGTTCCTGCGGGTTGATGGAACTGGAACTTACCTTTCCCGACCAAACCAGAACTTTCTGCCTCCTTGGGCTCAGTTTCTGAAGAAGCTAGTTACTCCCGTGAACGTAGGGATTTAGGTGTTCATCGCCGTCCCGGAATAACGTCCCCACTTTGTAAAGGCATAGTACCTTCTGAGTGCATCCCCAGCACTGAATTCTCTCCAAACTTACGATGTTAGCTCGTAAGACCTGGCACTGAGGTGGAGATGGAGGCATTACTGGTGGGTAGCATGTGGATGCTGAAGTTAACAGTGTTTTCCTGTTCTCTTCTGGAAAGTAAGGTCGCTTCCTGAGAACCAGTTTTCTCATCTGGTAAATGATTACTTGAAGGGCTTTTGTGTTGGTATTAGAGGTGGGAATAATATCAATTAAAATCTATTTTAGCAAGGAGGCAGTGTTTTCATGCCAGTATCCAAAAGATTTGAATTTGAGCTTGATGCTGGAGTAAAAGATTTTACAAACCATGTGGGTTGGAGAAGAGCTGGTGCTTTTGTAGTTTTAGGACATTTTATTTTCTAGAAATTTATAGTTTGAATAGCAACGAATGAATGTGGTACACAGTGAAAATAAACCTTCCACTCCCACCTCTGTCCTTCAGCCATCCAGTGTCCCTCCTGCAGTACGTTACTGACGTTCCTCTTGGCATCTCGGTAGTGTCTGTATGTTGTTGGAGATCATCCTGTTTGAAAATTGAGTATTTTCTTTTATTGCTGTTTCTTTACTACATGGATTTAGATTCTTCCTTGAAGTCTGTTTTTATTTTTGTTTTTTAGAGACAGGGTTTCTGTGTAGCTTTGGAGCCTGTCCTGGAACTTGCTCTTGTAGACCAGGCTGGCTTCGAACTCACAGAGATGCACCTGCCTCTGCCTCCTGAGTGCTGGGATTAAAGGTGTGTACCACGACCGCCTCTTCTTGAAGTCTGATAACCACTTTAATTTATATTTTTGGTGTGGGAGAAGTCTTGATAAGAATTGTCCTAGATCAGGGCAGTGGTGTTACATGTCTTTCTTTAATGTGAGTTCGAGGCCAACCTGGTCTACAAAAGCTAGTTCAAGGACAGGCTCCAAAGCTACAGAGAAACCCTGTCTCAAAATAAAAACCAAAAAAAAAATTTAAATTTAAAAGTTCTAGAGGGAGACTGGTAGAAGGTTCAGTGATTAAGGGTACTGGCTGCTCTTCCCAGAGGACCCAAGTTCAATTCCCAGCACCCACATGACTGTCTGTAACTACATGTCCAGGGTCTGTCTGTCTGTCTGTCTGTCTCTCTCTTACACACACACACACACACAGAGAGAGAGAGAGAGAGAAAGAGAGAGAGAGAGAGAGAGAGAGAGAGAGAATATTGTCCTAGAATAGTAGTAACATTTGTTTGTGTGTGTATGTGTGTATACTTGAGTGGTAAGGAAGCATCTTCTGGTGATATCAAAGATAGTGGTGGGGTTAAGCTCATTTTGAGGGAAGACTTACCTGTTGGTAGTCTGTTAGTCCACCATAGATACTGGTCTGGGCCAGGCTTAGACTTTCCTTGGGCTTTTTAAGAAGGTAGGTATGTAAATAGTTCATGGTGACTGTTGGTCCGGTATGACTGATGATAGACTTCAGTCTGGTAGCAATGAAAGTCATTGTGGAAAGAGGTAGGTAAGTATTAATAGGAATCAGAAGCCTGGACCTATAGGTTGAATGACCTAGTTTGAGAAGAGTTGAGGTTTTTAGACTTTCATGCTACCTGTTCTTTAGTTCAGAACATTTTTAATGAGGTGAGAGTGATTTGTGCTTGATAGCAGCATCCATCTTTACGGCACTGTGGTTTGCTTCCTCTGACTATGTCATGTCTGTTAACTTCCTGTTTAGATATCGTCTCAACAGGGTTGGAATAGACACTACATTAAATACTTAGAAACAGAGCTATCTTAAACTGTGTTTAGGATAGGGCCACAGGGAGACAGATGTATGAGGAAGTTTTTCTGACCCTCACAGCTCTAAATTACAAAGTCTGTTCCCTGAGCTCATGAGTGTAATCCCAACTCTTGGGAAACGGAGAGGACTGACAGTTTGAGGCAGCATGGACTACATAAAGTTCAGGATAGCTAGAACAAATCAGGATAATTGGAGCTACTGAGTTAAAACCGTTTCTTAAAACAACAACCTGTGAATCGGGCAGTGGTACACACTTTTAATCCCAGCACTCAGGAGGCAGAGGCAGGCAGATCTCTCTGTTCAAGGCCAGCCTGGTCTACAGAGCGAGTCTAGGATAGGTTTGAAAGCTACACAAAGAAACACTGCCTCAAAAAACCAAACAAACAGAAAACAAAACCCAACTAAAAAAATTCAAACAAAACAAAGCAAAAAAAAAAAAAAAACTTGTTCAAGCTTTTTATCCTGAGCAAGGGATCAGGAGTTCAAGGTCATCATCCTCTGTTTTATATCAGATTAGAGACTTTGAGCCATAAGGTCTGTGTGTTTTCCTCTGTTTGTTGTGGGCAATGGAGTCTCTTATCACCTCTCTTGGTTCCACTAGTCAGTCCTAGCTGAACTCTTTAGGTTGGGCCCTGGTTAAGAGTACAGCAGCAGGGTTGTAGTTGATGGCTGTAAAATTTTAATCTATGCTGGTGTCTCAGGATTCATCTCCTCCCCTCCCCCATGGTTTCTCTGTGTATTCCTGACTGTCCTAGAACTTTCTATGTAGACCAGGCTGGCCTGGAACTCACAGAGATCTGCTTCCTGAGTGCTGGGATTAAAGATAGGGACCACCACTGCTGGCTCTTAGTGAACTGTATATGCCGTTTGTCACAGATCTCTTACCTCAGTTTAACTGGTTTTCTTTCTTGCTCTCCAAGCTGTGTAGGGAAACAGCTGTGCTGTACTAGTTTTTAGACTCTGGAGCATATTCTGTTATAGCCACTCTATTAAGAGACTTGCTAACAAGCAGCCCCTCTGCACTTAGCTCAGGAGTCTCATGCTGCTTGTCTCACTGAGAAAAACCAAATAGGTTTGGTTGATGAAAACAGCTGCTAGAGAAATCGGAAGATTGAGCTGTAAATGGCTTTGTTTTTCAGACCTTTGCAGGACTTACAACCCAGTGTACTTAGATGTCAACATGCAATACCAAGCACTTTCTGAGGCATATTGAAAGGAAAGGAGAAAAAAAAAAGATATACCCCAGATTCCAAATCTAGTTCTGGCATAAAACTGTCCACCTATTGTGTTGCTTAGGAGAAGTCCTACCAAGATGATACCACACATTTACAATTCACCTGCTTTTGATTAAGCGTGGAAAAGAAATTTGTTTTTGTGAAAAAAAGTCTGGTTTTGGGGAAGAAAGTGTCTGTTCTTGTTTATATTCAGTAGTCTGAAGTTTTTTCTGTATGCTGTTTGGGGACTTTTGGTGACTTCAATTTGGTGACTTCAAAAGGATCAGGGATCCTTCTCTGTAATGACAGAAATCCCTGTGAATAGGTCTAGATTTGAAGTAAACCCCTTCTGGTGGATTAATGAAATGTGTCAGTGCAACCTGAGTTCATCAAATAGGAGAGGAATGACACATGGTCATTAAAGCTTAACAGGTTGGCTCTGTGATGTACAGTGTTTTCCTCAGAATCCCTTAATTTGCCACTGCTTTGGATTGCCTGCAACTGGCCAGAAACTATCAAGAGTTTGGGATTGTAGCAAGAGTGACAGATGCATACTTTCTTTTTTAAAAAAATATTTATTTATTTATTATGTATACAATATTCTGTCTGGGTGTATGCCTGCAGGCCAGAAGAGGGCACCAGACCCCATTACAGATGGTTGTGAGCCACTATGTGGTTGCTGGGAATTGAACTCAGGACCTTTGGAAGGGCAGGTAATGCCCTTTACCCCTGAGCCATCTCCCCAGCCCTTTTTTTTTTTTTTTTGAGACAGAATCTGACCTGGAACTCTCAGAGATTGACCTG